AGAAAAAATGCGATTTTAATCAACATGATCAACTACTAATAAAGTGCTCCTGTAAGTTATTTTATTGCATTAATTTGTTACGTCTTGTTTGGAAAGAGATTTTTCATTAATAAAATATCTATATTTTTTTATAAACATATATTTTTAATTATATTTTTACTTCATACATATCAAATCAATATAGTATATTTTTTTATAAAAATATCAAAAAATTTACAATTCAAACACAACCTTATGCTTAGTTTTGGAGTTTATGAAGGAAGAGAAAAGAAAAGAAAAGATAGCTTAGGAAAGAAAGGAAGAGAAGGGAAAAGATGCATATTCCGTTTGGGAGTTTAATGAAAGAAAAGAAAAGAAATATCTTTCTCTTATTTGAGAGTTGGAGAGAAATGGATAGAAAGGATTTTATGAGAATACAATTTTACATATTTACCCTTTCAATTTGTAAATCAAAGTCCAAAAAATAGCTTTCTTGTTCCTATAAATAGAATATTTGAACAAGATAAATTTCTAAAACAATTGTATTTGCATTCCCACAAGGTGAATAATAAAACAAATTTCTTGCTAGACTTCGATTCTCTTGCATGCATGTAAATCGCCTCAAGTCCTTGTAGTATCTTTTAGGTATTCTTGACATATGATTTTTGATATTGGTCGGAAATGCCTAATAGATTATCTATTTAACATAAATTAAATATTTTTTAAAAAAGAAATATCCCATAAAGTACTAGCTCTTTATGGTTTTTCTCTATTACATGAGTCAAGTACCAGGTTTTTATGGATATTTTATTTTGAATAATTTAATTTATGTTAAATACATAAATATTTGCAAATAAAATTCAAAAGCCGTTACACAAATATTTTTACGAAAGGAAAACTAGCATGTTTTGTATTTAATATAAATGAAGTATTTGAAAGTAAAAAAAATTTGTCCATAACATACCAGTTCTTTACGAGTTTCTTTCATTAGATGAATAAAATACTAGCTATTTATGAGCATTTTACTTTGAATCATTTAATTTATATTAAATACATAAATTTAATTAAGTCAAGTTCAAAAAGTGTTACACTAATATTATTACGAAATGAAAACTAGTAGGTTTTATATTTAACATAAATTAAATACGTGAAAGTAAAAAAAAAAAAAAATTACCCATAACATATCAGCTCTTTATGGATTTTTTCTATTACACGAAATACCTTTTGTTTGGTGAATTAAAGAAATACCATTTGTTTGGTGAATTATGAATGAAAAACAGAAGAAAGCCAAGTTTTCTCAACTTGCTGGAAGTATTGAAAGTACAGGACACATGACCGAGAAAGCTTTGCGGTGCTTTTATAGAAATCAATTTTAGGATATATTGGGAATAATAAATTTTTGTATCAGCTTTTAAAGGGCAAACTTGACATATTAAAAATGTTTTTTGGAGCCCAATAAGTTTCCATCCTTTTCTTCCCACTTTTGGGCGGAAACATTTTCAATAATTGGAGGGAGACTTTTATCCATTCATTTCACTTTTCTTCTGTCTTGTTAAACTCCCAAATGAAAGAAATGACCGTTCTTTCTCTTTGAATACTTTTTTTTCTGTCATTTTCTCCCTATCCAAATGAAGCCTTAGGAGGGATCCAATTTAACGAGTAGGAACCTTACTTAGGTAATCATCAAGTTTTTAAACAAGGGAGAGATAAAAGGGGGAATAAAAACCGTGCAGGGGAGCCGTATTGTTGGGGGAGGGCAAACGACAAAAGACAAGAAAGGCGTAAGGCTCAAGACGAAGCGCGCGAAGGTGCACGGAAGCGGTGGCTCGAATCTGAACCTCTCGCTTAGACTTTAGACTTTATAGAGTGGGGACTGGGGAGGGGATTTGCTTTTAGGCTTTTAGCGAGCTCGATCAATTTGATGAAAAGGATAAGACTTTATTCGTCGCCTTAAGCTGATATAATAAATAATTATTCTCTTTGATGGGGCCGGACCAACAAACAAGTAATGGGCTAATGGGCCAGGCTAAGGGCTATAGATGGTAACACGTGTAAGAAGAAGGGCTGATAACGTCGTTTTCGTGTGGACTCAGGACTGTGCCTACTTTTGGAGGATGCTACCCCGCGTGGTGTTACGAAGTGACTCGAAAGTTTGGACTTTTGGCACCACGGCGACTCGAAGGGTGAAGAAGCTGAAGAGGGGCGCGCGTTCATTTCCATTTTCCACCTTGCCTTTCGAGTTTATCTTCGTCCTGATATGACGTGATTGCTCGGGAGGCCTTTTTGGTTGAACTGGATTCTTCTTCTACTTTTCTTTATGATGATGGGGTGGAGAAACATTTTACAGATGGTCTAAACATTTTACAATATATGATATACATTTTCTTTCGTATTATATGATATACATTTTACAATAGATGTTCATAAGAGTATATTTCCATCCTGGGAATTCTAGTCTTGACAATTGGTTGAGCCTTTTCGGTTAGCTTTTCTAATTTTTGGAAAATTGGCTTAATTTTCCAAAAATGATCTTCGCACATCGGAATGAGAACTGACTGTCATGTACATGAAATTGTATTTTGAATAATTACTAACTACCAGTCTTTGGGCTGTTGGCCACCACTAAGCCATTCAAATTTACCTTCAATCAATTGTCATATTAAGTGGCTTCTTGAAAAAAATTCAGACAGATGCGTAGTGTATCCGTTTGGTCCGGTGGTGGTTCAATCCCCATCGACCCCCGTAGACCCAGTTGGATCTCCTCCTTAGATTATATAATAGTGTAGGATACTATAAATAAAGTGACAATTGACACAAAAAAAATTACGTGTATTTTATGAATTTTCTTTCGTATTATATGATATACATTTTACAATAGATGTTCATAAGAGTATATTTCCATCCTGGGAATTCTAGTCTTGACAATTGGTTGAGCCTTTTCGGTTAGCTTTTCTAATTTTTGGAAAATTGGCTTAATTTTCCAAAAATGATCTTCGCACATCGGAATGAGAACTGACTGTCATGTACATGAAATTGTATTTTGAATAATTACTAACTACCAGTCTTTGGGCTGTTGGCCACCACTAAGCCATTCAAATTTACCTTCAATCAATTGTCATATTAAGTGGCTTCTTGAAAAAAATTCAGACAGATGCGTAGTGTATCCGTTTGGTCCGGTGGTGGTTTAATCCCCATCGACCCCCGTAGACCCAGTTGGATCTCCTCCTTAGATTATATAATAGTGTAGGATACTATAAATAAAGTGACAATTGACACAAAAAAAATTATTAAAATGTGATATATGTAAGATAAAAAAATGGTTGATAAAATTTTAAGAAATTAATTAAGAATTACGTTTGTTGTGCAAATAAAATATTATTTGAAATAGAATTTCCATCCAAACACAGGCATATAATTTTTCTCCGGGAACTCCCAAAGAAACAGACCAAACGGGCTTGGTAATGCTTTCAACAAGTGGCCGAATTCGCACTACTGGGCCAAGGATCGTTTCCTTTTTGGTCTACCGGATTGTTTTGGCAACTGATTAAACTTTGTGATATTGGACCGGCCCTGGTTTGCTGAAGGAAGTCATTAGTCAACAAAGATTTGTTGGAAAGATAGAAGACCATTGAAAACAAAGCATGTCAAGAGTAAATACTTAATTTAAATAGTAAAAGGTTGTTAATACTAGTAAATACTTGTATTATACTACAACATTTAACCCTTTATGCACACATCAAATGTTCTCTATCAAAAATATGAAATCTCAATTTGATGAAATTATTCTATTTTAAGAAAGCAATTGCTTGAGAAATAAACTTTTCGACATAGGATCAACACTTATTAAATCAACTCATAATAAAGTTTAGGATCTATTTTGATTTTTTTCCAAAATAATTTAGGAAGTGTGTTTGGATAGTAGATTATTTGAAATATTTTTTTAAAAAAATATTGTATCACTTTTTAAATAAAATATATGTAAGATAAAAGATGGTTGAAAGATGTGTTTTGCTCCATCCAGTGATAATGGCAGGTAAGTTGACTTGTGGTTTGGAAATGAATTGATGAGTTCAATCAGAAAGGCCAACTAGTTCACGTATTGGTCAAAATTTCTAATACGTGAGTAAACATTTTCTATTGCAAAACAAGATCATTTAGTATTTTGCACTAAAATATACTAGATTGTTTAGTGAAAATTTGTACTGCAACAAAAGTGATGGTTTTGTGCAAGCATAAACAAATAAAATGGGATTGATGCAAGTTATAAATACCTTTAGTTTAAATATCACAATTTATCTGTATCCTCAAACTTCTTTTTTTGTTATTTATTTCTCAGGTCAATGAGATTGCTTATAAAGTTATTGAAATAAAAAAATTATATTAAATTCGATTAAAAAATAAATCAACATTAGAGTTTATTTCTCACTGCAATGAAATTGCTTATAAAGTTATTGAAATAAACAAATTATATTTAAATTGGGTTAAAAAATAAAATCAACGTTAGAGGTAACTCATGCAATTGGTTGCACATTGATCTTTAAAAAAAAAAAAAAAAAATTTCTCTGCGTTTGAGATTGTAGTAAACGTTCTTCCATTCTATGCTTCAAAAAAAAAAAAAAAAAAACTTCCATTCTAATTTCACGCTTCATGCAAAGTGCTATTGCATGTGCCACAAGAATTTATGCAAAAACGTAAACGTTAAATAACTCGAATTTATTAATTCACCATTATAGTTCTAGAATTCTACTCCTGTCCATCCGATTTAAAAAATGTGTATTTCGATTAGAGTTCTAGAAATTTACTCCAGTCCATATTTTAATAAGAAATTATTTACACAAATTTATCTGTTTACATTATAAATATATTTTTAATTTTTTTTAATATTATATATATTATGTCAAAAAATATTTTTAAAAAAATTATTCCAAATAATCTTCAATCCGGAGGCGTTCCAATGTAACTTAGCCGGTTCAATTAAACTGGTAAACTTGGAGGAGGGATGGACGCAGAGCTGAACCGGTCCGCCCTCACCAGGTAGACGCTAGGAAAGCCGCTTCATGAAAAAAGGTTCTTCTTTCTCTGCAATAAAACCTCTTCACCATTTGCAGTTGAGGTGGGAAAGTAACTAGGGTTCACCCGCCACATCTACAGTAAATACCACCAAAAAAGAAAAGGAAAGAAAAATGCCATTCATATCGAAGATAGAGAGGCAGACGGATTACACCCAGTTCGATTCAACTGTCCCCATCGTCATCGACAATGGCGGTTCATATTTCCGCATTGGGTAACAAAAGCCCTAATTCTTTGGTTCGCTTAGATTAATTTGCGTTGTGAAGTTGTGTTTTGATAAAATTACCGATAAATTACATCCTTCAATTATGATTTGGTCTGGTGATAGCTGGGCAGGGGAGGATGAGCCTCGGGTTATATTCCGGAACATTGTTCAGAGGCCTCGCCATAAAACCACTGGTATCTCTTGATATACATATATTCACATATATTTGTAATTTTCACTAGTGTAATTTTTCGGCATTATGCCAATGTTAATCTCCCTGCCTCTGAAGTTGGATTTGAACTGAATATACCATTGTGCTAGATTTTTCCCCCATCTTCTTCTTCTTCTTGGTTTTTTTTTTTAATTTGAGCATGACATGAATGATGGAAAACTTTTTTTAACGGTAGGCTAGATATCTCTTTTATATACTCGTTCAACATAAGCAAAAATTTATGGGTCATGTGCATACCAAACTTCTTTTACCAAAGTTTTGATTTTTGATTAAGATGAACGAGCTTCAAATGTCTTCCACCCTCAATTTTTGGTGATCTCCTGTAATTGAATTCTTTCAGTTTTATTTTTATTATTATTATTCCTGTAATTGCACGAGGGCGCAGTATATCTGCTTCTTTGTTTTTGCTGGAGCACTAGATTGAGTGTAATTAATACAGTCAAATGATTTATGTATTTACATTTGTGGTCTTTCCTGTTCCACTCAACCTATAATTTATGATCTGAATGGAAAGAACAAAACCTCTGCATTCACATGTTTTAGATTGCAGAGATTTTGGACTCATGGGTTCAAAATGGTAGCTTCACATGTTTGAATCTACACGTAGTTCCGAACTTCTACTTCTTTATAATTTGATTTTACATCAATTAAAAGTTTTTTCTGCATTCTTTCTAATGCAGGTGAAACAGTCACAGTTGTTGGTGATCATAACCCAGCGCTACTAAGATATTTTGATTGCACACGTTCAGGACCTCGTTCGGCTTTTGATGGCAATGTCGTGTATCAGTTTGAGATAATGGAATATGTAAGTTTCATTAATTTTGAGTAGTAAATGGGTTTCAAGTTACCTTGCTGAAACTTTTCACTCTATATTCTCCAATGAATACTCTTTACTGTAGAATGGTGATCAACTTGTTTCATAATTCTAATAGGATAGAAAGCACGCCCTCTGTGTCCATATGCGTCACACAGTTAGCAGTTACTTTCACCCTGTCAATAATGAGATACTAAAAGTCGGTACTTTGTTAGACTCCTAAGAAGCATGTGTTATGTGTTACATATTAATAACTTGCTTTCTCAATCTGCATCACAAAACTTACATCTGTCATTTTGTAGAAATTTTCTCAGTGAATTACCATCTTGATTTTATGAGTGTTTACTAGCCATATACCAATCTTTGGAGTTTGTTAAGCATACAAAAGCCCCAAATCATTCTAGCCTCTTACTGCTTTATATAATATTACCTGAGGTCATATAAGCAGTATGTTTGATATTCAAGCAGTTTCCTCTGAAATCCACCTTACTCTTTATACAAGTCTGAACTGACTAATTAATGCCTAAACGCTTAGCTTCAGTTATAGCAATTGTACATCTTACAAAATGTAAAGTTTAACAGAACAAAGAAAGTCTGATTGGGGGCTGTAGATGAATGTAGAATAAGGCAGAATACATGATACATAATGTAATTTTCCTTTTATTTTTCAGCTTTTCGTTAATCCAAATTTTTGGATATTTTAATATGTTCCATCAAGTTATCTTCAACATGTTTGTATGATGCTATTTTGCATTGATTGGAAACTGAAACATCTTTGTTTCTTACATCTCCTTTATGTTCACAGATCAAGTTGCTGAGTTGTGTGTTTTTTCTTGTATGTATAGATTCTTGACTTCGGTTTTGATCGATTAGGTGCTGATCAGTCGCAGGTACTGCTACATCACCTTTCAATTCTTTACTCAGCTATATCAAAGTTATTTTTGGTGTGATCTGATGTAAAATGCAATGCGAGGTTTATCAATTCGGAAGCTGCTGGTTTTTCTTACTGTCGTCATATTTTATGTGATTATTCAGTTTTGCTTGCAAAGCTATTTATGTTGTAGCGTGAATAGATAGTAGCTTTATTCTTGGAGATCTGTTTGTCATTGCGTTCATCCCCCCTAGTTTTACTTATTAAACTTTTGTGACATTTCGTACAGACCAAATGTTTCGTGTTGATTTTTTGCGTGTCAAAAGTCAACTGTTCATATAAGCAGTTGAGATTCCGATTTGCACTTTATATATAACTGAGGTAAATACTGTGGGCTCAAAGCATTGAATGTCTTCATTGATCTCTTTAAAGAACTTACAAGCTTTCTTTGCAAGTTCAAGCAGGCAATGTTTGACATCCCAAAAATTCTGTGGTTTAGAATAAGCTTTTTATGTCAATTTGATTCATTTCTTCATGTTTATTTTTGTGCAGCTTATACATGTCTGACTTCATTTATGTTGTTTGCAATATTTATCACTTCATATTTGATTCCTGAATTTCTTGATTTTAGATATCAGCATTGGTAATATTCATGTAGTTGATTTGATGGCAGAACAGATTGACCATCCTGTTTTGATCACTGAGTGTGCTTGCAATCCTATCCAGTCTCGTTGTAGAATGGCAGAACTTCTTTTTGAGTCTTATGGAGTTCCTTCAATAGGTATGCTTGCCAATTGTTAGTTAACTGAAGCTTCTGCTTGTTTGGGCAAATATTTTAGTTTGACTATGAAACAGGGATGCAAACCCTTAATATTATTGTCAACTGCATGTTTTATCTTTTTATGGATGTAGCATGATTGACACACCATGGTCACAGCATATTGTACTTGTATTTCTCATTTTATATGGTCTGATGCCATGAGTGCTTGGACTGTTGCTATTTTAATGTATCACTTACTTTTTACTTTCCCTTTAGCAGCATTTGGTGTCGATGCCGCATTCAGCTACAAGTACAACCAACAACTTGGAATATGTAATAGTGATGGTCTTGCAATTTGCTCAGGATTTATGACTAGTCATGCTATTCCGGTATGCTTCACTTGTTTTTATTGAAGTTCATAGTGATTTTGTGGATAATTCCAATTACATGGAGCATTGAGTACAGAAACATAACCATCACAAATCTCAACTATGCGTCACTGCCACAATTCTTTTGCTGTTCCATTAAAGGTTAGGTTAGTTTATTCTGAAGTTCAGTGCCATACCAAGTCACTATCTTGATCTGGTGCCACTGAGACTACTATTGGTATTAAGTATGAAAAGACCTACATGGAATAAATTATGTTCTTCTGGAAGAAACATGTTGTGCATGTAGGGTACACCCATGCTTAATAATTTCATGAATTTTGCCATTAATTTTTGTAGATCAACACAAATATGCTTTGCCTATGACCTATTAAAGAATTAGTTATCTATCTGTATTTGCCGAAGTTTTGTTGGATATGCACAACCTGTAGGCCTGTCCTACAAACCAGCCAAACACCTAAGCTTGAGCTTGGCATCATGGATTCAGCCAAGTACAGCATCAGGTAGTTCACATGTTGCTCATAGGTGGATGCTGAAATTTTACTTTTAGTGGGCAACCTATAATTGACTTGTGATAAATATTCTCAAACTCTACGGGGGCAATACTTTAGTTTTGTAAAGGAGTAGTTTGAAGAATTCCAAATTTTCAAGGGGTGGAAAGGTAATATCTTGGATAAGTAGGGTGGTGGTCCTCCCCTACACCCCTGCAACCAAAGGTCTGGGATGGATTGCTCGAGATTATTTGTGGTGCAAGGTTTGCAGAGTTTGGTGTTTGGCATATGTAGTGCCTTGAATATAATATTTTAGCCCAGGATTGCTTATAACCAGCTTAAGATGCTTCTTTAAGGCTCAAGCTAGAAGAAGATGAATCACTGAGCTATGAACCAAATTGAGCAGCATCCTTCTCACTGGGGACTAGGAATGTTTGACAGCTGAGCAATGGTTTACTGCGGGGAATTATGAAGCCAGAATAACAAAGTGAAACATTAACACCTGCATGTAATACCAGTTAATGTATTCAGTCTCTGATACTTATCCTAGTGTTATATGAAGTACTGCACCTTAACAACTTGCGATGGTCTACAATGTATATGTGTAAGTTTGAATTCTTATCCATTTTTCCTATCACAGTTCATAAATGGAGAACCTGCTTACGAAGCATGTTGCCGAACTAATGTTGGTGGATACCATGTTACCGATTATCTGAAGCAGCTTCTCTCACTTAAATATCCCCATCACATGTAAGCTTGAGAATGCCGATCCCTCTGTAAATGCAATTGAAACTTTTCTTCATTTGTTTTTTAGTCTTGATCGCTTATTTTTTTCAAACAGTTCTAAGCTCACATGGGAAAAAGTTGAAGACCTTAAGATGGAACACTGTTACATTGCACCAGATTATACATCAGAAGTCCGAATATTTAAGGTAGTGTAGTTTGGTCTTTTTGACTTGTCTGCAACTACTCTGCTTTGCTTTGCAATCATCTAAGCAATTCTTGTAACAGAAAGGGGCTAAAGAAGCTGAAGAAAAGACCAGGTGCTGGCAGCTTCCTTGGACTCCAGCACCAGTGGAAGAACAACCTTCAGAAGAAGAGTTAGCTAGAAAGGCAGCTCTAAAGGAGAGACAGGGTCAAAGACTAAGGGAGATGGCTGAAGCAAAGAGGTCCTCTCGAATTAATGAGCTTGAAAATGACATTAGAGGTTTGGAATTCCTCTTAAAGCAGCTCAAGCAGGTTGAAGAGAATAATGTTCCTGCATTTCTCAGAGAGACTGGCTATGCCTCTAAACAGGAAATAGAATCTAATCTGGCAAAGGCAATACAATCTTTACGCAAAGCGAAGGGTGAACAAGTTGAAACTGAGGAGAAGATGGACGCTTCCACGGCTGACAAGTATAATCTTGTCAATGTGCCTGATGATGTGCTGACACCGGAGCAGGTGTGTGTTCCGATTCCAAGTGTTCTAACAGATCTTTGTTTTATAGTTTCTGTTGATTTTGGTATTTTCTACTGCACAGCAATTCCTAGTTAAATAAGATACAAGACCAGTGAATGGCTGCTAAATTGGAACCACAGTATGGTTTTCATATTCTGTTCGTAACTTTCAGAAATTTAAATTTTGCACTCTTGTTTCCATGGCAGCTTAAAGAAAAAAGGAAGCAGTTGTTTCTCAAATCCACAACTGAGGCCAGGCAACGAGCTAAACAGAAGCGGATTGAAGAGGAATTAGAAAGAGAAAAGCAAATGAAATTGGAGGAGGAAAAGCGCTTGTATGTTTTTGATAAGCAATCTTAACTTGTCTAATCATTGCTTGATGATATTGTAGATATGTAGTCTCTTTTACGTTGTTATTATTACATTATGCTTTGCTTCTGAATGTAGAGAGAACCCAGAACGTTATTTGGAGGATTTACGTGCTAAATACCGAGAGCTTTCTGAGAAAGTGGAGCAGCGAAAACGCTTGAAGACAAATGGCAACAACACAAATGGGAACCAAAATGGTTCTGGAGGTGTGGGCCGTGGTGAAAGATTGAATGCTGCTCAAAGAGAAAGGATGCGCCTCCTGACAACAGCTGCATTTGATCGAGGGAAGGGCGAGGACACTTTTGGTATCAAAGATGAAGATTGGCAACTTTACAAGCTAATGAGTAGAGATGATGATGAAGAAGATGAGAAGTCAAATGAGGATGAAGCAGACCTTGCTCGCGTCTCTTCAAGACTGCGGGTTTGTGATTTTTTTAGATCTCACGTCCTTGTGCGTTCTTACAGATATTTCTTTTAGCAATTTCATCCATTTTTGCCTGTCATATCTGTACAGGAAATAGATCCGACATTTTTTCCCAAAGCAGAGTCAGGATCCTCAACTGCGGAGCCGCCACGATTTCGTCCTCTAACTAAGGAAGACTTCCAGCTCATTCTAGGAGTAGAAAGATTCCGGTGCCCTGAGGTTCTGTTCCAGCCCAACTTAATTGGGATAGATCAGTCAGGGCTGGATGAGATGGCTGGGGTATCAATAAGAAGGTTGCCGTGTAAGAACCAAGGGTTGGAAGAGAAAATAACAAAATCAATCCTTATGACTGGTGGGAGCTGTCAATACCCGGGAATGGCTGAGCGCTTGGAAGCTGGGATTAGGATGATTAGGCCATGTGGAACACCTATAACAGTTGTCAGAGCATCAGATCCAAGTCTTGATGCATGGCGTGGAGCTTCTGTTTATGCTGCTGCCATGCAATTCCCCAATCAGACATTTAGTAGGACGGATTACTATGAAAAGGGCGAAGATTGGTTGCGGAGATATCAATTCAACTACACACTTTGATTGTTGTAGATGAACTTTATATATTGTTAGGGCTTCCTTGGCTTGGTGCTATTGAGAAGTGCTCATAACTTGGGAATTTGCTATTTTACACCATTCATCTATATATTTATGGGTATAGATTGATGCATCTGAATTCTCCGAGCTGTCCGGCTCTGCTCATTGATGAACTAGTAGGGAACTTTTGTAGTTGTCCCGGATATAATATACGAAGTACTTCCGTAGCCTCGTGATTAATCTGCCAGGTTCTGCCTCCCTCTTGCACTTGATTAATTTATTATTAATTTTACAGTGCTATTTTGATAGATCGTTGAAGTTATATTTTTTAAAGTTAATTTTATATACACTAACAATATATATTATATCATGGTTAGATGTGTATCACATTTAAACATTGAATTGCTAGTTAGATGCATGTCACGTTCATACGTCTATTTTCATCAAAATTATTTTTCCTTTCAAATCCACTTTAAAGAAACAAGACCTTGATAATAATAATAATAATAATAATAATACGAGATGTCATAATCTCTTTATGAGGATAATAATTGTACGACAGATGAATGTAGTGATCTACAAATTTCATCTTGACGAACAAGACATAGCGAACTCCATGGCTGATCTCCCCGAATTTGCTTGTTCAGATTTATAGATTTTTCCCCCTCCATGAATGACTTCCTTGGTCCTTCCCTCCCAAAAGGGGTTAACTAAGAGCTGATATCTCCACTGAACTCTCCAGTAAAGAATAACAACATCAGCCCGGTCCACGAACGGCTACTTTTTCGCAAACCAGCCCAAAAAATAAATCAGATAATCAAAGAGTTAAGGCTCCTCCGCCCATATGACAAAAAGTTCCACAAGGCTTCCCCGGCACAAATGACCGTTAGAACATGACCAATCTTCTTCAAATCCCTAAACGCCCTTTACGTTTCCTTACACAGAAAAATACGAAAAAAAAAAAAAAAACTAACCGTTGAGCTCCCCTCCCACCAGCTCAGTCCGCTCCATTTCCATTCCTACACTGCCCACCCTTCCCTGCTGACATTCTCCTCCTCCCGACTAAAACTCTTGAAAAAGCCCTCTCTTAAACTCTCTTCTCAAACAGAGAGGGCCTCTTTCAAATTATTCTTTAGAAGGTGAAAGAAAACAGCAGAAGTTACAGATCAACAAAGGAAAAAAGTTGAACTCAGAAACAGAAAAATGGACTCAACTCAAAGAAGAAAAAGTGGGATTAACCTTCCAGCTACAATGTCTGAGACCTCTCTTCGGCTGGAGGCCTTCTCATCCGCCTCCCCGGCCGATCAGTATCGAATTTGCCATCACCTATGACAATGTCACCAAGAACTATATCCAATCTTTCATCCCCTTCATCAAAATCTACGAGTTGCAGTGACAGGTTTATTCCTTGTAGATCATCATCGAGGCTGCACACGTTTGGGCTGATAGAGAAAGCGTCGCCAGTGAAGGACGGAGGAGGAGGAGGCAATGAGGCTTATTTGAGGTTGCTGAAATCTGAGCTTTTTGGGACTGATTTTGGTTGTTTTTCTTCTCCTGCAGGTAAGGGGTCACCACTGAGTCCAAACAAGAATATGCTGCGGTTTAAGACTGAGGTTTCTGGGCCTAATTCTCCTTATTCGCCTTCTGTCCTGGGGCAGGACAGTGGGCTTTCCGCTGAGGTTTCAACCCCTCCTAAACCGCCTCGAAAGGTTCCCAAGACACCCCACAAGGTATACGACTTGCTTTAGCCTTCAATTTTGATTGTTAAAAATTGTCAATTTTGCAGACCCTAACAATACTAACATAAATACGTGAAAATCCAGCGATAAATTGTCAAAAAAGGATTGAGAAACGTTAGCTTGGAATTTTTAGATTTTGTATGTATTAAGTAATTGGGGAAGTGAGCAAAAAGGGTGGAGCAAAGTGCATAGTGATTGTTAATCGACCATGTGATAGGCTGCCTATTTACCTGGGGGACCCTCCTTTAATCTACTCCTGAACACCATTAGGCAAAATTGTACTAATTGATTATAGCGGTCTTTGGTTTGGTACAGATTTTCAATGCTTTTCCATGTTCATAATACCGTCTGGAAAAAAGGAATTGCAGCTTAGCAATAGTTTGATGGTCCAGAGAATTTTCTCTGCTTTGTTACGCTATTTTGGCTTGATGTCTCAAGGAGGGCTGCCCTTCTGGTGGCTGTAGTTAAGCTTTTGCCCTTATTCATTTAACTTGAAGCAAAGAGTGATAGAGTATTGTTCAATCATTAAGGCCTCTACGACTGCAGGTTCTTGATGCGCCAGCACTTCAAGATGACTTCTATCTAAACCTAGTTGATTGGTCATCTCAAAATGTCCTTGCAGTTGGCTTAGGAACTTGTGTCTATTTATGGAGTGCCTCAAACAGTAAGGTGAGTTGATGGTTAAAAGATCTTAATCTTCTTTGTTTCATGAGGTTTGAAGTATGTGATTATAATTTGCTGCAAACAAGAAAGTATTTATCAAAAGCAGCAGTTACTAATTTTCCTCTCAACTCCATATTTCTTTTTCCTTCTAAACCATTTTAGGTAACAAAGCTGTGCGACTTAGGACCTAATGATGGTGTCTGCTCAGTCCAATGGACCCGAGAGGGTTCCTACATTTCAATTGGCACAAATCTTGGTCAAGTTCAGGTATAATGTTTTTTGTTCTTTCTTTTAAAATATTAGGGGAGGGGTAGTACATCGTGCGCACCTTTTGATGTCTCGCATATAATTCGAATTTGGACGCGACTGAGCATTTATAGTCCTATCCTCAGGTTTGGGATGGAACTCAGTGCAAAAGGGTCAGAACCCTGACTGGGCATCAAACAAGAACTGGAGTCCTAGCATGGAGTTCACGCATATTATCTTCAGGAAGCAGAGATCGGAACATACTACAACATGATCTTCGAGTACCGAATGATTTTATAAGCAAACTTTCTGGCCACAAGTCTGAGGTAACAGCCACATTGTCATTTGGCTGTAGAAACTCAAATCTAACCAATGAGTACTTCAAGGGAATGTCAAGATAGCTAACATTTACTAATGTCCCCCGACTCAGGTATGTGGTCTTAAGTGGTCTCATGATGATAGGGAACTCGCATCTGGAGGAAATGACAATCAGGTAGGCAAGCTGAATTCTTCACATTGACAGAAGTAACTAAGCAATGCTGTAATACTCTTCTTTTATAAGTGACGTGCAGCTTTTGGTCTGGAATCAGCACTCCCAACAGCCAATTTTGAGACTCACAGAGCACACTGCTGCTGTAAAGGCGATTACCTGGTCTCCTCACCAGAGTGGGCTCCTCGCTTCTGGTGGAGGAACTGCTGATAGGTGCATTCGATTCTGGAATACTACCAATGGCAATCAATTAAATAGTGTGGATACAGGAAGCCAGGTTTGTGGTAAAAATTTTTATGAATAGCCAAGAGAACTCTCGATTGCTTACAATGGTTACGCTACCACATTTAACTCCCAACCACCACCCACACCCAAAAAAAAAGAAAGGAAAAGAAGAAAAGAAAAACAACGTTTGGAAGTACCATGCAGCGTATCTTGAATTTCCAGAGGGATTTTGTGAGCTTTTCTTATGTGTTCCATACATACCTGTAGGTATGCAATCTAGCATGGAGTAAGAATGTGAATGAACTAGTCAGCACTCATGGGTATTCGCAGAATCAAATTATGGTATGGAAGTATCCATCAATGGCAAAGGTAGTAGACTTCCTGGGCCAATTTTGAACAATCAATATTCTTTGATTTTGAAGGAAACCACCCTGAATATGTTATCCAAGCTCCATAAATTGTTTTTCTGCATTGACTTCGACAGGTTGCAACTTTAACTGGCCACAGTTTGCGGGTGCTCTATCTTGCTTTATCACCTGATGGCCAGGTACTGCAGCATGAAACAGAAGGTCCTGTGAGAATATATTTCTCTTGTGCATAGTAAACAAATGAATACCACAACCTTTTTTTCCCACAGACAATCGTGACTGGAGCAGGTGACGAGACATTACGGTTCTGGAATGTGTTCCCATCTATGAAAACACCTGTAAGTACCAAGTAGCCGTAGAACAGAATTTTGTGATCAAGATATGCTATCATTCAAGAACTTCCTCTTATCATGCCTTTCCAAACACGGCGCATGCATCTAACTAGTAATCTTTCAGGCACAGGTGCAGGATACGGGGCTTTGGTCTTTGGGAAGAACTCATATTCGGTGACAATTTAGAATAATTGTTCAGGGTGCAAGCTGCTGGGCAAAAGGAGATTTTAGCAAGCTGTCCATATGTTACTACTCGCTTGTTTTAAGTTGTCCATCCCTTGCTTTTTCACCAACAGATTTATGGTTGAAAAGTTTGGCAAGAAAAATGGAATTCTTCTGAAAAATTTTTTCAATTCATTAACAAATTTTTTTTTTCAATGCATACAATAAATTCGTCTGATCTTGCAATTTTGCAAAAGAAAAATGTAAAAACATAGACCTAGAAACTAGCTTCCCAACTGGAAAAATGTTGCAATGCATTTGTCACATCAGCAACTAGAATTCCTGTATCTGAGTTATCATCATCATCATCATCGTGGTTTCAAATGTGTGAGAAATCATTTTCAGCATTTGTGTTGTAATGGGATGTTGGGGGACATTTTCTGATACAATCCAGTATGCATGTTGGATGAATATTTCCGTCCCCGTTACATTTGTTAGCACACCCGGCGGAGCACTCCTCATAGGCGCCCTCCGTACCGATTTTTTCTTTAGGAATTGGCGGGTCTGCTATTGCCGCCGCCGCCACCACCATCCCAATTATCATCAGACCAAGAAAACTCATCTTTCCGACTTCCATTGGCTGCATTTCTGTCATCGTAGGCTGCAAAAAGAACAGGACACATTTTCTAACACAACTCGGGAGACATTTTATACTTGAAAACATTGAAGAACTTGCTTGTAATTGAATGTCTTTTGCATGTAAATCGCTTGCTCCCACGACCGGATCCCTAGCAATTCAAACAGTGGCACTAGAGGTGGCAAAATGGATAAATGGTTTATTATTGGTTTTGACTTAATGGATGGTGGATGAAATTTATCCAATCCATTTAGATCCATTTATTAAATGGATGGATCTAAATGGATTAAATAAAAACCAATTATTCATTTATAATCCATTTAAATATTTTTGTTACTTTTTTTTTGTATTACCATTTCTTGTAATATGAAAATACTTTTTTA